GGAAATGGGTGCTGGTCCTATGAGGGAGGGAGAAGGGGCCAAGGAGCCTTGCCGAACTCGCTCAGTCGCTTGGCTGCATCATCCAAAGAGGAGAGGGCCAGCGGGTGGCGTGGATCCAAAAAGGCCAATTCCACAGTTTGAGTCCCAGAGCCAGTGACTTGAAAATCATACCAGGGGCTGTCAGGTGGCGTTCTGATTAAAGGCGCTGGACTCCCACATGGCCGATCATGGTTCAAGTCCTGGACCTGGTGCCTTCCCTCTCTCTGTCTCTCTCTGGTCAAATTGGAAAATAATAATAACAATAAAGTTAAAATAAAATAATTATTTTTTAAAAATTAAAAATAAAAGGGTCAAAATAAATAAATAAATAAATAAAAATAAAAGGGTCAGCAGGTGCTATGGAGGCTAAGGTGCTGGACTCCCATATGACCAACCACGGTTCAAGTCCCAGACCTGGTGGCTTACTTTATCGCTCTCTCTCTCTCTGTATATCTCTCTGAGGTGGCATGATGGTTGAGGACGTTGGACTCCCATATGACCAACTGTGGTTCGAGTCCCTGGTGTGGTGGTTTGCTCTCTCTTTCTCTCTCTCCCTCTCTCTGGTCAAATTAAAATAAATAAATAAAGTTCAATTAAAAAAAGAAAAGAAAAGAAAAAAGAAAACCATACCAGGCATGTATGTGTGCCCAAAATCCCGACAGGAGATTGGAGAGGAAGGGACTGAGTGTAGCCACCCAGGAGGGGATTTCTCACTTTCCCTGTTTCTGTGTGTCTCTCTCTCTGGAGAGCACATGCGTCCTATGGCAAAAACTTAAAAACCATTTAAAAAGGAGAGAAGGTAAAGGAGGCTGGTAAGGAAGCTGGGGGAGGGCTGTGGTGTGGAGACCCTGCCAAGGATGCCTGTCTCTGTCATGACAGAAATGAACTTTGAGGGAAGAAGGAGAAGGCAGTGAGACACAGGAAGGGCTTCCCAGACCTTGGTGGTGGGGGAAGCTGGTGGCTGGGGCATGTGGAGCTTCTCTTCCCAGCCCGCCACATGCCCCAGCAGGACAGTTCCGGGGACGCACACAGCCTCTCCACCTTCCCCGCACCTCCACCACGAGTGAGGCCTGAGTAACAGCATCACAGACCCAGCACACACCCCAGCGTGCGCCTGCCCGGACCCGGACCCTCTCACCCAGGGCAAGGAGGACCCAGAGCAGGGCAGGTGTGCTACTAGAAGAAAACATTGAACAGTGGCCATCGTCCAGGAAGCAGAGGCTCAAAATCAGGACGGTGGAGCGGGAGAAGGCACAGAAAAAAAATATGCATGCTGGGAAAAACCATGCTACAAGCTGTAATGATATACAATGATTACAAAAAAATTTGTTTCTAAATTGGGACTCTAAGCCTGAGGAAACGCTCCACACACTTCCAGGGTGGGCAGCTGACACCGCTGCCCCTGCTGCCTCTCAGGGAGCCATCACCCCACCCGAGCACCTCCACGACCCTCTCCTGAGGCCGCCATCTCCCCAGACTCCACTCTGTGCTATCAGGCTTGGTCCGTGAGCACACTGGTGCTGCCATTCCTCACGGCACGGGTACTCTGCCTGGGGCAGGGGACCTGAAGTGGAATACTAGAACATGCAGCTCTCTCACTGTCGCTGGCCTCTGGCCCTGAGGGCAAAGGCCAGGCCTGACCCTTCCCTGGCACAAGGACGCAGCCGGCCCAGTGCCTGGCAACAACGGTGCCCGTTGCCCCATCTGAGGGATTCCGGGCCCGGCAGGGCTGGAGGAGTGACACACCTGCGCACACACGACGATGAGGTCGGGGTTGGTCCGCAGCCAGTCCAGGAAGACTTTCACGGCGGGAAGCAGGCCTTCGGCCACCAGGACCTGCAGCTTCTCCTGGACGCTGCGCTCGTTCCGACAGGAGCGCCCGCTGGACTCACTCCCCTCCGACTCGGAGCATTCCTCAGAGGCTGGGGGGCGGGGTGAGTGGAGGACAGGAAACTGGGATGACCGACTAGCAGGGACTTGACGACAGGCCTGGTGCTCCCACCCCTCCTGGGCCCCTCCCAGGAATTCTGACACCAAAGAGGTGGAGATTTCACTTACAGGCCCCTGACAATTTTTCCAGGCCCACTAAATACTTATTTTTAAACCAACAGCATGGTCCCCTTTAAATACAATTCTTTCAGATTCGAGTTCATCTGTGAGGCAGTAAAAAGGCATTTCAAAAAGCTCCTAGATAAACGGAATTGGGGCTGGTCTCGTAGCCCAGGGGGTTAAGGAAGCCTGATCCCACATGGATGATCACAGTTCAAATTCTAGATCCAGCGGCTTGAGAAACACACTGGATATGTGCGTGCACATGCTCTAATTCCAACAAGATACAGCGTATCCATGCCATTGAGGGGTGATTTCCCCTTCTCTTTCTCTGGCAAATGGAGGAGAAAAACAAAAGGAAAAAAGTGGAATTAATACACTAGCTTATTTTAGTGCAAAAATTAAATCCATGCAGTTTTTTCCTAATACTCATTTTCAACGAACGTTTAGAAAAACTTCACATATATCCTACAGCTATAACTAGGCAGATCTTTATGAAGGCAGAGCAGACAGTGAAGGGAGCCGTAAGGGAGAGAGAAGAGGGCGCAGAGCTGAAGAGTCACACCCAACTCCCAGCTGTCTCCTCTGGCAGGACAGTGGGCGGCTCCCTTCCCGCTGAGCACCAGCTTCTTACGTCTTAGGGACAGCAGAGAGAGACGGCTGGAGACTGCGACAGTGCATGTGGCCACAGGAGCCCACTGGAAGTACATCTCCCTTAGCCCTAAAGGAGTCCCAAACCAAGGGCCTCTGAAGCTAAAATCTAGGGGGTAAGAATTCACCACGGGCCCGTCAGGGGGGCTGCAGTTTTTCATAACATCCAGGCAGGTACGGGATAGGCAGCTGGGTCCCACATGGCTGGTTATGTGGTTTGAGTCCCGAACCCAGAGGCTTAAAAGACATGCCAGCAGGACCAGCAGATGGCATAATAGTTACATGCTGGACTCCCACATAGTCAACCACAGTTCAAGTCCTAGACCCGACAGTTTAAAACTCATGGGGGGTGGGGTGGGGTGGCAGACGGTGTAGTGGTTAGGGTGTTGGACTCCCACATGGCTGACCTCAGTTTGATTCCTGGACCTGGCCACTTGTTTTCTCACTTTCCTGCTCGCTCGCTCTCTCTTACTCTGTCCCTCTCTGGTCAAATTAAAATAAAGGAATAAAGTTAAATAAAAAATACTTCTTAGAGGGGGAAAAACCCTCACACCAGGTGTGTGTATATGCATGCCCAAAATCTCAAAGGAGACTGAAGAAGAGATTGAGGGACGGTCACCTCCCTGGGGGGAGGGGTGGTTTCTGGCTTTCTGTCTCTCCGGTGAGTGCGTACACCCTGTAGCAAAAATCTCTCTTAAAAAAATCAAAAGGAAACGATGCCAGGTCTATGCCCAGAATCCTGAGAGGATGGAGAAGGGATGACAGCATGGCCATCCCCTTTGGAGGAGGATTTCCCTACCCCCTGCTTTTTTTCCCCCAAATAATTATTTTATTTAACTTTCTTTATTTAAATTTGACCGGGGGGGGGAGGAGGGAGAAAGTGAGAAAGCAAGCTAGGTCCGGGACTCAAACCATGGTCAGCCATGTGGGAGTCGGGCGCCCTTCACCATGCCACCCGCTGGCCCCAATCCCTGCCTCTTTCTGACATGCAAACTTACCCTATAGCAAACTAAAAAAAAAAAAAAAAGAAGATCAGATGACAGACTTGGCACGAAGAGTAAAGAAGCATGTTCCAGACAAAGGCAACATATATACAAAGTCGGGAAGCAAAAGACAGCATTTAGGAAGGCAGTCATCTACCGTAAGACTGCTCCAAAAGTCAGACAGGACAACGCCCAGGGCCTGGCACACCGGGGCTGTGCAGTGCGAACTGCCACATGTGGGCCCCTACAGGCAAGAGCCTCTGGAGAGAGCTCTCACTCCAGTCCACCTGCCTTAGGGGGACTGTCAGGGACCCTGAGGTGACACAGAGGAGGACGCTGTGACGACAACTGGTGTGTGGGACAGAAGCCCCAAGCCCGCAGAGCGGGATGGAGAGGAAGAGAAGACCCAGAATGAGACTAGAGCTGGGAAGGAGGAGGTGAGCAGCAGCGGATCCTCAGACAGAGCTCAAGGGCTACGCTACGGACAGAGGGCCGAGGGCCGAGGCGTGGGCAGCAGGAGACAGGCGTGCACTCGCGAGGAAGCGGCCTCTCCAGGTAAGCACCCACGCTAAGGAGGTGTGGAGCCAGCGGGATGATGAGGAACAGCCCCAGTACCTGGCTCCGAGGGCTTGTCCACGTCGCCGTTGACACAGGGCCTGTGGCTGGCCAGGCTGTGCGACTCGGTGCTGGGCTGGAGGAGCAGGTTGCTGAAGGTGGGGGCCAGTCGAAAGCAGCGCTTGGTCTGGAACATCTGGGTGGACATGGCTTGCAGGTTGCTGGCAATGCTAGCCTCACTGGGGCCCAGCGGGCCATTGAGGGCATCAGGGGCCTCGGACCTGGCCCGAGGCGGCTCTGGAACTGGGGACCGTGTCCCCTCCTCACCCTCCATATCTTCCAGGTCTGACCTGGACTCCTGGCTGTTCATCTCTGAGTCTGTCTCGGCATCAAAGGCCGTTCCCCCACCTTCGAGACTCTTGTCAGAGCCACTGTCCGAGCCCTCACTGGCTCGGGCCGAGTCATGGCTTGAGTCCGATTCAAAGCCTTCACTCAGGTCACTGTCGTCACCAGCTTTAGGTGGGTGGCGCCGGCGGCGGGGGCAGGAGAGGCGGGAGAACTTACGGCTTTTCTTGCTCTCACCAGCTGGGGGTGCTGTGGGAGGAGGCTCGGGATCCGGCCCCTCCTCCTTCTCCAGGGGTTCCTTGGACTCGGGTTCATCTGTGGGAAGGGAGAGCGAGGTGGAGTCCACGGAAAAACTGGGGCCCCAGTTGCTCTCCTACCCTGTCACCCCACTGGGTCAGTGTCCCTTTGAGTCTCCCACCCCACACCAACCCTTCCACAGCCAGGACCTCCCGCTCCTACCAGTGCCATCGCTCTGGAATGCCGGGACGGGGTTCTCGCCCTCCTCCAGCTCGGCCTGCAGCCGTATGTTGACGTGATTGACGAGATGGGAGAAGAGGGCCAGGGTGAAGGCAATGGCTGCACTGTACTGCTTGGACCCTGGCAGAAGAGCCAGCCTCAGGGCCCGGGCTCTGCTGGAGAGCAGGCGCCCCCAATTCCATCCTCGGCACCTGCCCTCGATTCCCTCAGGCTCAGCTGCCCCCAAAGCGTCTTCTAAGGTAGAAATGACTTGGCCGGTCTCTGCGTCACAGACCGCCTACAGTCCGGGATGTGCCCGGGGCTCCCTCTGGTCCTCTCTCTTCCACCCTGGCTGAGGCTCCTCCCCTGCCCCCACCCCTTGTCCACCTAGTTCTGCCTACATCTCTGCCAGAAAGCTCTCTGGAACCGCCCACGTGCCCCGACTCCAGTGGGGCCCGAATTCTATCTGGATCATCAGCTATGCATCCCCAGGACCAGCCCATGACATAATGGTTACGTCATGGGACTCCCACACCTGGAGACTAGAAACTCGTACCAGGCGCATATGCATGCATGCCCAAGATCCCAAGAGAAGAATGGAGAAGGGATTGTAGTGTGGCCATCCCCCCATGATATCTCGCTTGCTGTCTCTCTGGCGAGCAAAAATCTCTTAACAGCAGCAAAAAAAGAATCGCAGCCCTGGTCTCTGCACGTGTGGGGAGGCGGGAGGACAGCAGGGTGGAGTTAGGGCTGCTGTCTGTGCATTCATCAGGAGCTCCTGAGGGCAGGCTTCCTCGGCCCTCACTCTCCCGCCAAGCAGAGACATGGGTAGTAAAGGGGTTGCTGTGGAAGCTGATGAATGAGGAGCTCCAGAAAAGGCTGGTGAGGCTCCCGGAAGCCAGCGGCAGAGGAAAGAGGAGTGTGGAATGTTACCTGCCCTCTTCAAGCTGTGTACGCCCATGAGACAGATGATGACCATCTGGAAGATGAGGAGGTCTGGCAGGAAAGCGTATCCGCTCTCATACTCCTCCTCCTCCTCGCTGGCCAGGCTGAGGTTGGGAGACGAGGGCAGGTAGAAGAGGCAGAGGTTGAAGTCCTCCAGGACTGACTGGCACAGTGAGGTCAGCTCCGAGTCCACGCTCCTGTGAAAGCAGGAGTTACAGGGCAGGTAGGTCAGTGACAGGGCGGGAAGGCCGAGAGTGGAGAATACAGAAAAGACCAAGCGATCCTCAGAGCGGGGGCTCCCCACTCAGTCACTCCTGCTTTGACACCTGTGCCAGAGGGTGAGGTGCTGCAAGCGGGTGAGCATGGAACTCTGGGGCATGACAGTGACGCATACCGAGGAGGGTCTACCTGGCGAGAGAACGTCTAACCGCGGCAGAATTCAACAGTGTGTTCCCACGAGTCCCCTCACACAGGCGCTGCCACAGCCAGGGCTCATGGGACAGCCGTCACCCATACCCTCACCTGCTTTTGGGCTGCAGAAGGCTTTGCAGATACATGAAGTTCACCAGCAACCTCTTAATGTCTTTACACCTGAAAAGAGGGGAGCCCACAGTTCACGCTGAATGGCCCCAGGGCCCTGCTGCGCCAACCGCAGAAAGACCCACAGGCCCGCTCACCGCTTCTTGCTGGGAGACAGTTTCCGGGTCTCACACTTCTTTAGCTGGTGGTACATCTTAGCTGCTTTGTCATACAGCCGCTTGAGGTTCCCATACGCCCCCTCAAAGGACACTTCTGACTGGATGCTGAGGGAGACACAGAGGTGGCCACTGAGCCTTGGCGAAGGGAAAGGGGGACACGGCTGTGCTGAGCATAGAAAGCGACATCGCCGGCAGGGACAGGCTGCCGGCCACCTCCTGGGGAGCCTCCCGGCCCCATCAAGGACAGCACAGCAGCTTCCAGATTCACCAGCGTGAAGATGGTGTCTTTTTCTTCTTTACATCTAGAAAAGGGGACGGTGAGTCCCACACCATGTTACCAACGTATCTTAGTTACCGAACTTCAAGTACATCATCCTTCAACTTTACATCAGCACAGAGCACTTTGTAATAGATGGCATTCAAGCAGCAGCTAGTGCTAGGATATTCTCACGCACTATTAATATTTACATGCGTTTTAGGAGTGTTAATTCACCCGACACTCCAACTAAAACAGGTATGGTCCTCACTGTGTCAGGAACCATCCAGACTTACAGGTGAGGAAAACAGCCTGCCAGCCAGGACAGAGAGGGGGCAGTGCCCAGTCTCCAACCACACCAATGAGCTTAGCACCACATGGCACTTCGTGTCTGTGCGTGGCTTGCTTTTTTTTCTTTTTTCTTTTCTTTTCTTTTTTTTTCTTTTTTTAAGTTTTTGCTATAGGGCATGTACACTTGCCAGAGAGAGAGAGAAAGTGAGAGAGGCTGGCAAGTAACATGTTGGTTAAAGGTACTGGACTGCCACATGGCTGACCATGGTTCGAGTCCCGGACCTGGAGGCTTGCTTATTCACTTTCCCTCTCTCTCTTTCTCTCTCTCTCTCACTCTCTGTCCCTCTCTGGTCAAATTGAAATGAATAAATAAGTTAAATAAAATAATTCTTAAAAAGAAAAAAGAGAGAGAGCAGGACCAGCAGGTGGCATGGTGGTTAAGGCGCTGGACACTCCCACATGGCTAACTATGGTTTGAGTCCCAGACCTGGTGGCTTGCTTTCTCGCCTCCCTCCCCCTTCTCTGTGTCTCTCTCTGGTCAGATTTAAAAAAACAAGTGAATGGATAAATAAAATTAAATAAATTTTTTTTTTAAGTTTTAAAAAAAAGAAAGAGAAAGAGAAAAAGTGAGAAATCACCCCCTAGGGGGATTTTCATACTACAATCCCTTCTCCTTCATTCTCTTCAGGACTTTGGGCTGCACACATGACCAGTATGACTTTCAAGCTGTCGAGTCCATAACTCGAACCATGCAATCAGCCACGTGGAATCTAGCTGCCTTGACACCACCATCAGTTGGCCTGTATCTGTTTTCATAATTAAAAGTTGTTTCTTTTTTCTTTTTTTATGGAAAAGTTTTTGTTATAGGGCGCGTATGCTCGCCAGGAAGACAGAGAGAGACAGAGAAAAAGAAAGCGAGAAATCACCCCCCGGGGGGATGGCCACACCGCAATCCCTTCTCCTCCATTCTCCTCTCAGGATCTTGGGCACACACGCACACACGCCTGGCGTGAGTTTTAAGCCACTGGGTCTGGGACGTGAACCGTGGTCGACTACATGGGAGTCCAGTGACACAGCCATTACGCTGACTGCTGGTCCCATTTGACTAAAATTATTAACTTCTGTTATTTTTTTTGGAGTGGTTTTTGCTATAGGGCACATGTGCTTGCCAGAAAGACAGAGAGAGACAGAGAAAAAGAAAGCGAGAAATCACCCCCCGGGGGGATGGCCACACCGCAATCCCTTCTCCTCCATTCTCCTCTCAGGATCTTGGGCACACACGCACACATGCCCAGAGTGAGTTTAAGCCACCGGGTCTGAGACTCGAACTATGGTCAACTACGGGGGAGTCCAGCGACATAGCCATTATGCCAACTGCTGGTCCCTTAAAAAGTTTCTAAAACACAAGATATGAGTGCCAGCAGGTGGCGTGGTGGTGAAGGCACTGGTTCCAGGCCAGCAGGTTCTTCTACCGGGAGGAAGAGACCACACAGGGTGGGAGGGGACCCAGAAGAGCCCACCTTCCAGGAGTGTTAGCCTTCCAACAGGCTGAACAGCAATGAATGACCCTGGACAATGCCATGGGGCGAAGAAGTGTCCCATGAGCCCCGCCCAAAGGCAAACCACAGACCAGAATAGAATTGATCTTCGGGAAGACAGCAATCCTGGGTTTCGCATGAGATGGACAGCTGGAAAGCCATGTGGCTCTAGGAAAAGCAGCAGGATTATGTCCGGGGCTCCTGAGTAAGGGACCCCTCTATCTCGCTCGGTCGGGAGCTGGAGAAGCAAGGGAGGGAAGACAGAAAACGACGCACGCAGTGATGACACGGCGTGAAGGCAGGCCGGGAAGGGGCTGGCGCACACTCACCAGCGCAGGTAGCAGTACATGGCTTCCACGTTGTAGTACTTGCTGCCCGCAAGGGTGCCCAGCTGGTT